ACAAAACGACACAAACTCTGTAAACAAAGGTCAACAATCTAAGAACTGAACATTAGTAGCAACTGGACCGAGAGACCCCGTTTGCTAAAGTAATACCCGACAATGACAGCAAGCGTCCACAGGTTGGCTAATCACTAAGCCAAACGACAAGAAAAGGAAAAATTCAGCTGATACAACCGCCGAAGAGCATTCCCTGTCTTTTGTAAAATCCGATAAACTTAACAAAATCTGTTTTCTTATACAAAAACCAACTGTTTTCAAACAAAAAAAAAAAACTGTTGCTGCTTTCTCGAATGCGCTGCAACGTATAAATTTTAAACTAATTTATTTGCCCAGTCGTAAGCCAATATTCATCCGTGCTCATCTTGTTATATGAATACTAAACATCTCTTGCAGGTGTTTGGCCTCTCCTGTTAGACCGCGGTAATCTCAGCTTCTACTCATCCAATTTGCGTACTTTAAAATGTTTTGAAAACCTCTCAGTCTAGCGGGTGATCTAAGACCAGTCTTGTTTTGCTATCATCAAATTATTAAGGCCAGTGGTCACCGAAAAGCTTGTTACCATGGATGCCATAGGGCTAACATGGCTGGCCGGTTACCACGGGCACATTAAATACTGCACTCAAACAACAAGAAAAGCTTCGTCTTCGCCTCTGCGTTTCTTCTTTTCACGGGCTGTGTGAACAAGTCATTTCGGCCACTGCACTGGCTAAAGCAGCTTATTAATTTGGTAATTTCACAATTCGGCCTCTGCATTTGCTAGGAGTAGCTTAATAATTCAGAAATTTCAATAGAGTAAAAAACCTAGCAGGCGAGCAAAAAACAATACAAACTCTGGGTGTAAAAGGTCAACAACGCAGTACGCTCGCCGCGGACAACCATCTTGAACACTTGTCCGGCTTTGTCATTCTGACTTTTCGGGAAACTGGATTACATGCTAAGCAATATACTGCACATGAAATACAAAGTTTTAAAATCGTCGTAAGCCAATATTCATCCGCGCTCAGCTTGTTAACTACATCCGTAACAACCATGACAGAGTAAGGTTAAAAAACCTATGTTTGGGAGAACGGGTAGGCCGATTTCAACGCGGTCAAGTGCGCCAGAACCGCTGCAACAACGCGGTGGATGTTACGCTATTACCGAGACGATGCGCCTCGAGGGGAAAAAAGGGGACCGGAAAGGAAAGTTGTTACCATGGGCCTCCATAGACACACATGGACAAGTTGTTCCCATGTGTGTAAATGACACGACACGCCTCGGCCAGCGGCCTCGATGCGAACAAAACCAAAAATAATTAATCACCAAAAGCCGACGCCGATAAATTGGTTACGGATGTAGTCCTCCGTAAACTGGTTATCTACATCCGTAACCACGTATACACGATTGATAATGTAGCCAATGTTTGGGCGAACGGCTGAACCGATTTCGACGCGGCCAAGTGCGTTAAATTCGTCTCAACGGGACGATTGTTCTTACGCTATTGCGCCATCGATACGCCCCAAAAGGGAAGGAGTAGCCCCAAAAAACAAATTGTTGTCATGGGCCCCCATAGACATACATGGTAAATACATTGTCTGTTCGCGGACCGTTCGGAAAAACCAAGACAGACCGCGGCCTTCGGCATCGGCACGTTACAAAGTATTGAAAATTTAAGAAACATATGCAAAAATTAATCGCAGTCAATCCCACCAGCGCGATCGGTCTACCTCGTATTCTTTCGTATACGATATTTCTTAGATATCTTAGGTTTCTTAGGTTTCTTAGGTTTTCTTAGGTTTCTTAGGTTTTTTAGGTTTTCTTAGGTATTCTCAGGTTTCTTAGGTATTCTTAGGTATTCTTAGGTTTCTCAGGTTTCTCAGGTTTCTTAGGTTTCTTAGGTTTCTTAGGTTCCTTAGATTTCTTGGGTTTCTTTGTTTTCTTAGGTTTCTTAGGCTTTCTTAGGGTTTCTCAAGTTTCCTTAGATTTTTTTTTCTTAAATTTCGTAGTTTTCTTCGCGGCTGGGACCAATGCGATCAATCGTTGCGAAGTGTGCATTGCGTAAAAACTTGCGCCGCAAAAGATTGTGTACGGATGTAGATCCCGTAAGCTGGTTATATGAATACTAACTAAGTAACAAGGGTCCTCGACACTTTGCCGATGGAGCGAATGTTCTCGCGTTCCACACATCCAATCTGCACGCTCTAAAATGCTACAGAATCCTCTCAGTGTCGAGAGTGTTCCTGCATCATCAATTTTCTGGAAAGCCCACTACCCACAATCCAGTGGTCACTCAAAAGCTTGTTACCATGGTGGCCATTAGCTTAACATGGGCTGTTTGTAAATCACCAGATTGTCACTATGTGTTATTATATCAAATTGTCATTGAAATTAGCGGACTGCGAATTAGCAAAAATAACAGGTTCTGCTCACGCCTGTTCATTTTGTTCGTGCCTCCTTAATGTAATAAACATTGTGCCATTATTTTAATACATATGCAGTGAACCTTTTTACATGCTCGAAATCCTAAGACATTATTCATCCGTGCTGGGCTTGTAAGTATATAAGCAACCAGCTTGTATAACGTTGAATGAACAGAACATAACAGAACTGACAACACCGTGTGCGACGCTTCCGGTTTCTGTTCCCGTGGCTATAATAATCTCATAATATAAATTCTAACAACTAGGAAAGTGCACTCGCTTTTTGCGGGCACTGCATGACCGAAGCGTAGCAGGATTACACGATTGACGTATACTATAGCGAGCGCAATTTCAGCGGCATGGCTAGCTCGCTAACTATATTTCGACTGCTGCCTTATATGGGCTCCCCTTACCTTACTTTCCCTTATCTGGGCTCCCTCTAGATAAAACAGCTGCAAAACTGCAAGTACTAATGTAACCGCGCACAAGGTCGGTTGCGCGCACTTCCGGCAGCATTGACAGTATGGGCAGTTTTGCAGCTGTTTTATCTAGAGGGGAGCCCAGATAATGGAAAGTAAGGTAAGGGGGAGCCCATACAAGGCAGCAGTCGAAGTATAGGAGAAAAAAACCTATGAAAGGGATGTCGAACACTCCGGCCGTTTCGATGCGGTCATGCAATAGCCTGACCCAAATGTTCCCGTCTGATTCATCTGACCCAAATGTTCCCGTTTTCGTAATGGTGACAGGGCGGACAATGCACATTTTTCACAGACGCATCCGTGCATTGTGAAAACTGTCCGTTCACGCTCTCACGCTGTTGTGTGACTGTTTTCTTCAGGAATTTTTCACTGGTGGAAGTCCAGTTGGTCGCATCGAAAAGTAAAATAATGTAGACGGCAAAATTTGCGGGAAATGTTTTTCTGGATTGGCGAACGGTTTAGCCGGTTTAAGCGCAGGATCATTCAGCAGTAAATTATCCACCCGATAGACTTCTACCACAGAATATACTCAGTGTAGTATACGAAAAAATTCAGGCACAGCATGCACAATTTGCTCGGAAAGATGCAAGCTCTCAATCAGTGTACACACTATATGCACACCAAAAAGCAGCGTGTGTGCCGTGCGGTGGGAGAAAGGCTCGTGCTGAGTATCCGGCAAGGGGAAGACTACGCCATGACCTGAAAGTCGTCCACTGTATCGGTACTCGTATCGAAAGAATCTACTGTATCGGGCGGATACAGTGTATTTCTCCGGATGGGTTTGTCAGTTAAGTGCACGGTTGGGCAAACTGTAGCAATCCCGCCGTCCAATTGTGGCGCGCCACTTTATAACGCTACTTTTTTCGTTGATTACTCGTGCAGTAATCCTTTAAACGAAGAGCAGCTCTTTCAGTGTTTTGTCGGAGGGCAGTTTATCCAGCTGAAAGTTTTGCGATCTGTCCGATGAAAGGTTTTTAGATTCGCTTGGAGCCTGCGATACGATGTGGACCTGCACTGACAGACACTGCCTCTTACGAATAGCACACTGGGAAATTTTATTTATTAATAGGCAGTATAGCAGAAGGTTTAAGGCGGCACTTCGGGGCTAACCGGAGCCTTTGGTTACTACTCTCATACAAGGGCCCATGTTTATGTGTTTCATTCCAAAAACCACAGTGTAAAGGTGCATTTGGTGGTAGTGACCGGTGGACAGACAGCACGAGCTACAAACGGTCCGAATATATACGGCCACCGGCGCACCGCACATGTGTGCATTTAGTATCAGACACCCCAGTGCATTTAGTGCCGGTGACCGACGGACAGACATCTTCATTTGCAAGTGGTCTGAGTATATACGGCCACCGCGCATGTGTGCACTTGGTACCAAACGCCCCAGTGCACATGTGCATTTGGTGGCGGTGACCGACGGACAGACATCACTTTTTCCATTATCGCTGAACATAGAGGACCTTCGCTACGCTTCGGTCAAATAAAAACACAAAATAAAAAAATATAAAGAAAATTTATTAAGCAAAATACGAAAAACAAGTTATGGAAAAAATTTAAAAGAAATAATAGGTTTTAAAAAAATTCCAAAAATACGATTTATTTAGGCAAATAAAAAAATTTGTTGTAGATATATACAAGAAATAATAAATAAAACATATTACAAAATATACAGAAATGTTGTAAAGAAAATACTAGGAAAATTTAATGTAAAAATTGTAAAGAAAACAATTACAAAAAATAAAGAAAATAAGTAGAATAAAAATTTATTTATTATTTATTTTAATTTTATAAATGTACCGCACCTCTGCCGGTGGTATTCCTGCCCCCCGGCAGCCGCGCAAAATGCCGTTCCATCGTCTCCAGCAGCGCCAACCCGGCACCGAACGTCCCCAGGCTCCCCGCTTCCATCCAGCGCTGCAGCGCCGCCATCAACGCCGGCAGCGGCGCCGCCGCTCCCTGCGCGAGCAGTTGATGCACGGAGGTGAAGAGGTGCAGCCACCACCCCGTGGCACTACGGGCGGCGTCGCGCTGCACGGCGTCCAGCGCCGTGGTCCACTGCGCCAACTCCAGCCGGCGCCAGTCCAGCACCAGCCGGCTGATCTGCTCCAACTGCGGCTGCAGACTGACGCCGCTGTGCGCCTTGGCTTCCCAATGCTGGCAGCGGTCCAAAAGGAGCTCCAGACCGGCCAGGAATTTAGCCACGGGTTCCGTCGCCGGGAAGGATAGGATGCGCTGGATTACCATGGAGGCCTGGGGAAAAAATCCAATTTTTGCTGCGATTATTTAGATTATTTATCGAATTTATTTCCAAGGCAATTTAAAGCATTTTGAAAAATTTTAATTTAGGACAATTTAAAGTATTCCAATAAATTTTTAAATTTTTTCAGAATTTTGTTTTCAATAACGAATGATTTCTTTGTAATTCTAATTAAATTTAGGATTCAATAGAATTTCTAATTTCGGACAATTAAAAGCATTTCAGTAATTTTTTAAAATTTATCTGATTATGTGTTAACCTGATCACCAGTTTTCTATAAATATTTATTAAAAATAATTATCCTGTTTATTGTCTAATAATATTTATTTCATTTGTTAAATTATTTAGTCCATGTATTAGCTAATAAAAATTTTATTTTAAAAACTGAAAGTCTAATTTGCACTATTTAAATTTATAACAATTAAAAAAAATAATTTAGAGGCGTGCAGTAATTGCTTAAGTTGTTTAATAAATTTGTTTTAATTCCTGATAATCCAGAAAAACTAGAAGATAAAAAATACCTCAAGAAGAACCGGATGCGACGGCCATTCACTCAACAACTCCGCCACCCGCGTCTCCACATCCCGCAACACCGGCAAGCACTTCCGACACTCTGGGATATTTTTCCCGCGATAGAAATCCCCTTTCTTGCCATCAGATCTCTCCGCATCATCGAGATTCTTGCACGCCGACCGAATCTCCACCAAAATTCCAAGAAAATCCACCGAAAAATCCACATCCCCGCTGCTTGTTTTTCCAACAAGAATTTCATCTCCAGACCTTCCGCGGATAAAATTCTCATCAATTCCGGCGTGGGAACACCGGTCCGCTCGTTAACAACCGCGGAGTGCAGTTCAATCAAATCACTGCATAAATTTTCCGTCAAAATTATCCGATTTTCCGCAGCAACTTCCGGTTGAATTTTTTCGATTGTCTCGGCATCGGTTTTTTTATAGACATCGGAAAACACGTTTTGATACGTCGGGAAGACCGTCTCCCCGGCGAAGGTGTACAGCGTCTCTTTTTCCACGACTTCCCGTTTTTTTTGCTCCTCAATTTCGCTCCAGATCAACGCGAAACGTCGCATCACGGCGTCCGTTAATTTATTCGCGATTAAACTGGAACCGGCGATTTTCTGGTGGAGTTGGATTAAACGGAGAATAAAACGGATTAATTTTAATTCGGTGGCGACCATTTCACCGGTAGAATGCCGGAAAAATCGGAGGATGTCTAACCGGGATGTCCAGAGGCGTTTTGCCACGGAAATAAAATCGGGATTAGAGAGCGGCGACAGATGTTGCACAGTTTGGCGGACGGTGTCCGAGATTTCGGATTCTTGCAGGAAGATGCTTTCTCGAAGGTCGTGGAATATTAACCGCCATCCGTGGATAAACTGCAATTATTATAGATTAATTTGTTTAATAACTATAATTTTTTTAGCTTCTTTTATCGAAATTCTTACCTTAAAAAATAAACTTTTCAATTCTTTAGAACAGAGCATCGAGAATTTATTCACAAAATCACAAAATAAACTGCTGAACAAATTCTTTTGGTTTTCGTAAAACAAAATCATAAAAAAACATTTTTTCCTTAAATTTTCCTACAACAGACAAGTCGGAATTTATTCACAAAATAAAAGAATAATTATTGAAAAAATTACTGTAACTGTTAGTTTTTAAATCAGTTTTTAAAAAAATATTTTCTGAAATTGACCAACGAGAATTTATTCACAAAATAAAGATATCATGTTTTTTTCAAAATAAAGATATCTGCCTGTTTTTTTCTAAATTCTTGGTTATTGGATGCTACTTGTTCGACAGTAACTCTTGATGTTCAGCCAAGTTTAAAATCCCAAGTTAGACTGTCAACCTAGCCGGAAATGGGCTACCTGCTCTGATTGCAATTAAATTAAAATAAATTAAATCATGTTTTTACAATTTACTTTCAAAGGTTTTTCCAAAATATTTAAAAAATAGCATACCTGGTGAAGACTGGAGAGAAACAGGAGGAGAATATCGCGATAGACTAAATACTTCCGCTTCAGCTCGTCCACAACCGCCACGACACTGAGCAGCCAGCTGCCCAGCTGATCCACGACTTTTTTTCTTTTCGAGACATCTTTCTCCGCCAACGCTCGGGACAATTCACTTCCGGTCTTCAAGCAATTCTCGCGGACGTAACCGGCATCTTGCACCATCGCAAAATACTACCCAACAAAACAAACGAATACAAAAATAATAAAAATAAATTACAAAATCAGTTTGAAACTAATAAAAATCACAAGAGAAAAAACCACATACGGTGGAATTCGCGGGCCGGTAGACTTCCGGTAGCGCCTGCAGTTTGGCCAATTTCCGCCGGCAGAATGTCAGGTGAGCGTGGTATGGCTCACTGACCAGGGGATCATAGTTTTCAGGATCGGCCGAACCGTACAGACGCGTGAAATATTCGTCCACCACGTGCAGACTCGTCTGGCAATCATCCTCCTAACAACACGCGTATTTTACGATCCCGCACAATTTTAACAAAAAACGGCATCTCCTAATTCACAAAAACCGGACATGAATTATTCAAAATTTAAACACATTATTAATACTTTTAATTTTTCAAGAAATTCTGAAAAATCAATTCCTTTTTTTTCAAAATTTCTATCGGCAGGCACTTTTGACAATAAAAAAAATTATCTGATTTTTTTTCATCCATATCCGAAAAAAATCCCTTTTCAAATACAATTGATAAATGCTAGCAACAAAAATACCCGCAATTTTTCTGTTTGTTTTATGAAATATATTTTAGATTGAATTCTTAATTTCTGTAGTGCAAATAAGAATGATGCCAAATTCATCTGTTTTTTTATTTTCAATAAAATTTTTAAAGAATCAAATGATTCTATCAATTTTACTTTTAAAAAAACTTACAGCAATTTTCCCGTTTTTGCTTGCGTAAAAAATCTTTAAAAAATATTTTTAATTGTTAAATAATTTTTATAAGCCACTAACCTGTTGCGCGAGACACTGGCGTTTGACGCGCACTTTCTGCACGGGATCCACCGTGGGTGGGCAGAACACCTTCATCCCGCAAATTCCCAAAGCCATCCAATCCGCCGCCACGCTGCGCCGCTCATTCTCCGCCACCAACATCTCCACACCCTCCAAAATATTTTTCTCCAACTTCCCGACGTCTCCTTCAAAATTCCCGTTATCAGCCAGAATTTTCCATAATTCTTGCGGACAAGTCGCATCGGTCTGCAATCGGCCGTTCCAGAAATTCAGGAAAAAATTAACTTGCTCTTTTTCAGACATCTTCAGTTGCCGGCATTGCAGCCTTCTCCAAAAAACGCTGCGCAACTCGCCAAATCGCTGTACCACATCATCCACATCCTTCAACGCCACCGTGACCTTTTCCGAATTCCCGAAAATCAGTTTTTTGACGATTTCATGTAAAATGCGATTTACCGTTGGTAAAGAAAATTCCCAGGGGAAAATTTCACTCGCCACACTTTTTCCAACATCAAATTCCACGGATTTCACAGATAAATCAAACACGGAATACATCACAGTTTCGCGAACCGCATCCGGAAAAAACCGGCAGTTTTCGGTGATTTTTTCAATAAAATCGACGGTATTTCCGGTGATGATTTTCTTAACAAAAACTGCCGATAAATCCATGTTAAAAATCGACCGGAAGTCGGAAACACCGTCGCTATCGCAAATTTCCAGGGATTTTTGGAAAATATTCCAGGTTTTACCGTTTTCCACTGAATCCGCGGAAAACCGGCATTCTGATAAAATTCTGTGCTTCAAAAATTCGTTTTCAGTAGCGAAAGGTCGAACAGTATCGAAACACCGTCGAAAACGAATCCGCTCTTTATCCTGTGTAATCAGCAGTTGAATGTCTAATTTCCCGGCAGATTTTTCGATAATTTCATCGCTGGGATGGAGATTTTTCAGGAAGAGCATCCAGATTAAGCTGAGCAAGCTGCGATCCAGCGGATGCTTTAATAAAATCGCCAAACTGCGAAGCCACATTCCCGCGACGAAACTTTCGATTCCAAGAGCAGCGCGCTGAATTTCTTGATGTGTCCATTGTTGGACGATGGAAAAATGCTCCTGGACGTCGCGTTGGATGCTGGATAGGGACAAATTGGGAGCGGCATTGCTGGATGTGCGAAAAATCCAGGATACCAGCCAGCGTCGGGTTTCCGGTCGTTCCGGCCATTTTTCCATCTCCTAAATTTAGGAGAAAATATTTCCTTTAATATACTTTATTTAAATTCATTTTTTCGGTAAAAAAATATTCAAAAAATAAAATTACAAATTTACTTTATTGATTTCAACTAGCAGTTGATTTTATTTCAAATCATTTTCGAAATAAAACCGCGCTTTGAGATTTAAAAGGTTCAACATTAAAAACGGAATTTTTTAGTTATTATTCCAGTAATTTTTATGGCAAGAAATTGCTAAAAAAATAATGACAGAATAAACGGCAATTTATTAACCGCTGAAAATACTGATTTTAATTATATATTAATATATATCGTTTAATTTTTTGACTCTTCACCAAAAAAGATTTGGAAAATTAACTGCTAAAATTTTATTTCGTATCATTTCAATTAGAATTTCAAGTTACCATTTGCTGCATCGGAAACAGCACACTGCTGGTGGATAAAAATTCCTCCGCGCTGATTTTTCTTAGTTGCGCTTCCGCTGAAAAAGCGGTGAGGAAGAAAATCTCCAGGCATGTCGCCAACACAACCGGCTGCGTTTCCATCCGGTGCAGCTGTTGTGCAATAAATTCCACAACGCGTCGGTTGCGCAGCGTGTTGGTCTGCGCCGGATGGGACATAATATCCCGTACAACGACGGGAAACGGTGGATGAACCAATTCCTGCACCGGATCGCCATTTACGTACAAAGCTACCTGCTGGACAAGAAATCAGCAACATTCATACAACTTCCAAAGAATTAACTTTTTAAAAAAAGAAAGAAAGAGAATAATACAAATTTATGACAATAAAAAAAGAGAAAATTACGCAACTTGGAAATATTAAAAAAATACTGACAAGCAAGAAATATAGGGAATTCTCAAAAAAATCTGCAGCAAAAAGATTTCACAATATACGCATTGATAAATCTGGGTAATATGCCAAAAGAAGCAGCGACAATAAAATTACCGTATCATTTGCGAGGGAATGTAGCGACGTAACCACGCTGCAGACGGCTTTCGATAGGGCGCCGTCCAGACTGGCGCCGATGCTGCGTCGCATCATCGTTTCTTCCACAACATCGCGCAACGCCGCCACGGACAAATCTGTAAACAATTATGCAAATATTATTACACAAAAATTACCTGAAAATCTAACAAATTAAAAATGTCAATAGACAGAATTTTTGCAATTTTTGTAATTTAGAAAAAACTTACCTTTCGACGGGATCTGATGGTGCAGGCCCTTTAAAACGACACCGATGTCGTTCAGGGGCACGCCCAACTGCGCCGCCAGCGTTTCTTCATCGCGCTGATTAAGCAGCGCCGGGACGAAGATCTCGATGGCCCGGTTGCGCATCGCGCGCGATAATTCACCATACTTCCGATCCATCACCAAAAACAACCTAAATCGTTTGGTAATGCATACAGATTTTTAACAAAATAATACAACAAAAACTGGCCATAAAAACAATACGAATAAATTTGTACGATATTACAAATTTTAAAAAAAACAAAGGATAAAGTCAGCAAAATTATTTTTAAAAAAAGTCCAAGCATAATAAAAGCGGTATAGTTAAATTTATAAAAGAATACCAGTATAGGACAACAGTAAAAAATAATTTAAAAAAAGTAATAAAGAAGGCGCAAGCCGGAAAAAATATAAAACAAATTACAGAAATAAAATATAAAACAGACATCTGTATTACTATATACGAACCGGAAGTTAGGATGCGGTTTGATGCAGGGCACCGCCTCGCCCACCGTGCCGCATTCCGACAGCAACAGCTCCCCGTGGGGCTCCAGCACCGAGTTCAACCGGTCCAAAACCGCCGCGCTGAAAAATAATTTTTTTGAAATTTCCTAAAAAATACCGCCAACATCCAACGAAAGGGTAAAACACACCTGCAGAGATTGGCTCCGTCGAGGAGCAGCCAGCCGCCGTCGCGGATGGCCCGCACCACCACACTGTCGCGCCACTCGAAGCGCCCGGCGGAGGCGGAGGGCGCTTGGCTGACCTGCTGAAAGCCGCCCAATAATTCCGTGGCGTCCAGCGCGCTGTTCAGATACATCGTCTCCAGTCGCTGGCCGCACAGCGCCGCCAGCAGCTGCACCGCCGCGGCTTTACCCACACCGGCTCCGCCGACCTACAAATACTGCCGTCAATTTCGGTGCGAATTTTTGAAAGGGTATTACAGTTTGCACAAAAATTTATTTCGATTCTCACACTGAAATTGTTATTTCTTGAAAAAATTTACTGAGTTTCTCCAGGTAAAACTTATACCATGATTTTTCAATCAATTATTTAACATTTTTTTACGTGAAACTCATAACAACTGTTAAATACTTCAAATTTCAAATAGCTTTTATTTTCAACTGGATATTTTTTATTACTATTAATTTTTTAATTTATTCATTTAAAAGATTTCAGTTTAAAATTTATTCCTAGCATACTGGATATACATTTTTTTAAATTTCTTTTTCAACGTTTATTTATTACTATTTATATATTTTCATTATCCCGGTTGTACGACACTTACGAGTAGAGCCCCCAAACAGTAACAAATTTTTGTACGGCTACGTACGGTTTCCGCTTACGGCTCCTACGGCTACGGTACGGTTACGGCAGAACTAACTGGATTGACCGTACGGTATACCGTATACGTACGGCAGTACCGTATACGGCAAGCCCATTGTAAAACCGTGTTTTTGGCTTACGGTTACGTACGGCACTTTCGTTACAGTACCAATTTTCACTACGGTTACGTACTGTTGTGCCGTACAGTATGCCGTATACGGCAGTACAGTATACTGTTTGGGGGCTCTACTTACGAGCAGGGAGACAAAGTTGTGTTTGACGCAGAAAGCCAGTTTCTCCAGCAGCGCCGACTGGGACTGCAGCAGCTGCAGATCCAGGACGCTGTCCGCAGTGGGGCATTTTCCTCGCTCCAGTGATACCACGCCCAGATGGAGGTACGATTCCGTGATCTCGCAGCGCAAGAACTGCCGCGCCGGCACCGACCGGCTCGTTGCGGATATTCCCAGAATGTCCTGCGCCAGCTGCCATATCTGCGCAAATCATATGGGTAAATAACGCACTCTTTATTTATTATTACTCGCACTTACCGCGGATTATTTATTATTATTTACAGGCATTTTTAGCGTCAACGTTATCATTTTTGTTATTAAAATTCAAAACATTTTTCATTCTGCTTTTTAAAAATCCGCTGAAACTTCAAAACTGAATGCTTGAAATTCATTTGAACTGACTAAATAAATTTCAATTTTTATATTGACTGATTTTTGAAATAATAGTTATTTCTTTAAAAATAAATTACTTAAACTCTATTAATAAATTTTAAAATATATTTAAAATTAATTTAAGAGTACCAGTTGTCTATCCTGCACGGTGCGGAATCTGGCCGCATACAGCAAATCCACGAGCGCTGCTTGATACTTCCCATCATCATCATTTCCCTCCCGCTCCAACAGCAAATCGCACCAGCGCATCACATCGCGCAGATTAAACTCCCACGGCCGCCCCTCCTGCCCCGCCCCCACCGCTTCCTCCACCGCGGCGTTAAACAGCAACATCCGCTCGACCGTGACCTTTTCCACGCCGGGATACATCCGACAACAGATCTCCAACAAATCCCCGTCACTCAACGCCTCCATCAGCACCTGCGTGAAGCGATTCAGGAAGGATTTGGGGAGGCCCTTGCGGCCGGCGCCCTGGGCCAGGGGGTTCTGGCAGGCGAAGATGCGGGTGGTCTGCGTGTCGACGGTGAAGGTGCGGTTCAGTTCGGGGATGAACACTTCCCCGCGGTGGTCCAGACAGGCGTTCAGGCCTTCTAGAACGGACTGGGACGCCAGGTTGAGTTCGTCTAACAGGATCCAGCTGCCGCGCTTTAATCCCTGCAGGAAAGGGCCGTCGCGCCACGCGAATAAGCCTTCGCTGCTAGCGTCGCACACCGGCATGTCGGCGCCGAACAATTCCGCTATATCCTGCCCAGAAAAAATAATTTTCTTATTTTTATATTCTTATTTATATTTTTATTTTCTTATTTATTATATTCTATTTAATAATTTGTATCAATTCATTTCAATTTAACTTGGACTGCAAACGGAAAAACGTGGCGGGCTTACAGTTTGCTCGGATAAGTTGATGCGGACGACGTCGTAGCCGCAGGCCCGCGCCAAGGCGGTGATGATGCTGGTCTTCCCGATGCCCGGCGATCCCTCCAGCAGGACGCCCTTAGTCACGGCCATCCCGCGAATAATCCGCAATAAATTCTTCTTAACGCTGTCCGCGTCGAAACTGTAACTGACCGGGACAGCGCGCACCGCATTCTACAAATATACCGGTTTCATTACACATTTACCACCGCAAACATTTCTTTTTGATGTAGTTTATTTATCTGTATAACATATTTTTTTAAGATTAATTTTAATTTTTAGTAGAATTTACTTTTATATTATATCAATGAAGGTTTTTCTGGTATTTTATTTCTTATGAGGTTTATTCTAATTATTTTTAAATTTTATTTTTCTTCAAAAAATACTCCTACCGGATTCTTTTTGACGACAAACGGCGCAACACCAAAATACTCGTCTTTATCGACCAATAATTCGCCAGATAAATCCAATGGAAGCGCAATTCCCAGTTCAGCAAAATACGGAGCGAAGACATCAGTGTGGAACTGTGCGCCAATAAACTGCCCAATCCGTTCGCTGTCCATTTCATTGTGCAGACTGTGGAAGACAGTGAGGCATCCGTGATAATACGCCAGATGCGGCTGACCGCTCAGGGAACGGCACAATCCCTCCGGCGGGGCGCACACGAAGGCATTCATGAATTTAATCAGGCTCATCACGTCGCGCGTGCTGATCAGTAACCTAGGACAGAAATGTCATTTAATAATTAATAGCTTAGTTAGTTTATTAACTATTATTCAGTTTCATTCATCAATTTAAATTAATTTCTAACGGTGCACATTTCACGCTTCAAATCAAAGATTCGAAAATTAAAGCCGGGCTGCCAGCATTTGAAACGGGTTGCAATGAAAAATTGAAATTTTTAAATTCGAATTATTGAAATAATTTTAGGTGGACCGTGGAGAAACTGGTCAGATTAAATGCCGATTAATTAAAATACTACAAAAATTAATAAATGTCGAAAACAGTAATTACTATTATTATATTAATGTGTTTTTTTGTCTATGACAGAGAAAATATTCGGAAAAAAATTTTAAATTTCCTTTCTTAAGGCGATAGACTGGTTTTGCTTCCTTCCTAGAGAAGTTACAGTAACCACATTTTCTAGAATAGAAAAAAATGCTCTTTAAAATGAGACCTCCTTTGAAAAGCACAGAAACTAAATAGAAAAACAAATCTTTCTAAAACCAAAAGGTACCGGGGGTCTAAAATGACGCACGGGTGCAGCTGTACGGTTCGATTCACGTAGCTGCCACCACAAATCGAATTGAAGTATACCCAACCGCACGCGGGCTGCGTTTCTGCGTAGCGGTGCGACCGTGCGCGGACTGCGATTTCATGAATGCCATGCGCAGCCTGCAGGTAGCGTGGTTGTCTGCTCAAACTCGTGCACCGATGCAACGGACCATTTTCAAAACACGAAAACCCTAATTTACTGGGAATAAAGTTTCTACAGTTTTACGCATCTTGCATTCCATTTCCGCAATGGAATTGGCTGTTCTTGGTACCATTGGAAAGAGGAAATTATTATACACACTGGGTTTTCTTGGTTTTGCGATAGAGTCATTCGAACTCCAACGCTCAGTGGTTTTCACAGTAAGAAGAATTAGTTCTATGTTCAAAAATTCATATCTTTTTAGCTTTTCATTCAAGATTTTTTCAAATAAATCCAGTGTGTAAAATAATTTTATGTTTCAGCTGAAGACATCAAACCTGAAGATGTTCGATTTGGTGCTTGAATAAGATTTTTTTAGGGCGCACACAATAAAAACGTTTCCATAGCATTTGTGCTTTTAGCGCAGCTTTTGAAAATCTATCTGTTAAAAAGCGCGATTTATGAGCTTTCTAATGAACCTATACACTTCGAAAACGGGCCAAACCAAGGAGCAGCAACAATTTTCAAAGTAGCCATAAAGATTGGCATGTTACAAACCAGTCTATCCCGTTAATTTTAAATGGAAAATAAGTACTGTACCTATAAATAGTAAACTCATTTGATTTCTTTGTTTAAAACAGAAAAATATTCGGAAAATAAATTTTAAAACAGTACTTTTCCACTTTTAAATTTTATTTCGTTTAAAAGATGGCCCAGCTCGAGTCCCAGCCATACACCAACCTGTTATTTTGCTGCACCATCCACTCGATAAATTCACAAATCGCCGTGATAAAAGCACCGCGCATAATTCCAGCTTCCGGCCATAAATTCTGCTCCATCACCAGCCGCAAATCACCCGGGATATTCAAATTCCGACACCAGATTTCGGTAAACCGATTACGCAGCGCCGGGGATAATTCTTTCTTCCCGAAATCCCCGCCGGGGTTCATGGTGGCCACCAGGCGGAAGTCGGGCGCCGCGCAAACCTCCGGGACATCCAGACGCCCGCCCGCGGCGGCGGCACCCTTCTCCGTCAGGACGACGGTCCGCTCGGGCTCCAGGAGCGAATTGAGGCGCTCGAGGACCGCATCATCGGCCAGGGAGATCTCGTCCAACAGGAAGACGGCGCCCTGCTGCATGGCGGCCACCAACGGGCCGTCGTTCCATTCGAAGAGCGCCCCGGAAGCGCTGGAATGGCGGGCGGGACGAAGACCGCCCAGGAAGTCGGCGGTCTCGGTGTTCATGTGGCAGTTGACGGAGAGAAGCGGTTGTTGTTTAAGGTCCGCGTATAACTGGCAGACGGTGGTTTTTCCGCAGCTAAATTAATCGGAAGCATTTTAAACTACGCTTCTATTTTAACTTCCAAATTTGTTTAATTCCTAATTTAATTCCACTACTATTACTAAGTTTTTAAGATAGACAAATATGTACAAATAAAATTGATAAATATAAAAAACAAAAAATTAAAAACGTGTAAAATCCGGGAAGAATACACGGAAAAATATCTACAAAAAAATTATAAACACTCAAAAATACCTAAGCACGGGTAGAAAAGCATGAAAAGTATGGCAAGGCTATAATATGCTTAGGAAAAATGTCAAAATAAACAAGATCAAAAAAGAATAAAATGATATAATAAAAAGAAAAATTGTGCATTAAAATAAAATTATAAAAATGAAATTCCTGGACGCACCCCGTGTCGCCGACGAGGAGCACCGCCTCGCCGTACTGCAGCGCCGTACCGGCCAGCACCACCAAGCGCTGCCAGTTGGACGTCCACACCAGATGCCGGAGTTGCTCCGAATGGGAATTTTTAAAGGCCTGTGCGACCGCTTGACTGCTGATGGAACTGGGCAGTGCTCCAAAGGAACCGAATAACTGCTCCGAACTAACGCTGACTTTAAAGTGCTTCTCCACAACACTTTTCACCACGTCGGCATCATCGGTCCGGCGCACTCGTCCCGCCAATAGCATAAAGCCTGAATTAAACAGCACAAATTAACCTGATGCATAAGTAAATCAAATCCAAAAAAATAATCCAGTTACTAGATACGCAGAAATTAATACACTCATAGAAAAGCAAGAACAATATTTTTAAAAATTATAATGACAATAACTCAATTACGGGTACTTCAAATTAAAATAAATGAAATTCCAACAATGTTGTCGGTCTCACCGTGTTCGGCTAGATGTTGTGACCAGTCGTAGAATTGATTTCCAGCGGGAACCGTCGCCAGGCGGTAGCGTTCCGCCCAGCGGAAGAGATCACGCAGCGTAATGAATCCCTGCTTTCCCGCGAAAATCCCGCTGTTCTTCCGCAGCGTCTAAATGCAAAACAATTCATAGATGGCAGAGAATTTAGAGAATTTTTTGTGATAAATTTAAAATAAAGCCACAGAGGATAAATTTAAAATAAATTTAAAATAAATACAGGATAAATTTAAAATAAAAATAAAATAAAGAATAAATAAATAAATAAAAATAAAGCTCTGTAAGTTATATTTAGGATAAATTGCAGATACTTCTGATTTACCTGTAGGTCGACCATAACGGAGATCATCTTCTTGGCATAGGCTTCCGGCAGATCGCAGCGCTGCTGCAAGATCTTTACCAGCTCTTCGCGCGGGATCTCATCGAAGTGCATTTCGATGAAGCGGTTGCGGAAGGCACGCGACAGCGCCTACACAAAGCAAAGCAAATGTACAATACAAGCGCAGGGAATTTTCTTCCAACTAAAACTCTCACTTTGCGACCACCGTAGTAGCCGGGCGGATTCTGTGTGGCAAACAACATAAAGTGGGGATGAGCGCGGATAATCTGCTGCGTCTCCGTGATGAACAGCTCACGATTGGCGTCTAACAACTGCAAGGCAAAGAAATATTCCATATTATTTTCAATTTATTTTCATATTAATTTTAATATCCATATTGATTTTTTGATAAATTAAGGAAAAGCTGGCATTTGAGTTTGTTTGTATGATTTACCCGATTTAGCGCCTCGAGAACGTCGGACGGCGCCAAATTCAGTTCGTCGAGGATAATCCAGTAGCCTTTCCGCACGGCGTCCACCAGAATTCCTAATCACAAGATAACTACCGTTGTGCATCGCAAAATAATTCGTTAAGCAGACCTTCACAGAAGACCAGTTTGCCGTCTTCGTTGGGCTGGTAGGACCCGAGGTAGTCCTGCAGGTCGGTGTGCTCGTGGTTGTTGATGCGCACGCAGCGGTTGCCGGTGGCCCTGGCCAGCCACGTGATCAAGCTCGTCTTCCCGATGGACGTCTCGCCTTGCAGCAGCACCGGCACTTGTCTAATCACACAATCTTAATTGCACGCTTTTACGCAAATTAGTTAAATTACATGGTTAAATTACTCCAATTAAATTTCCAGATACAACTCAATCTCACGCTAAAATTATACGGCTACAGAATACAGATACTTGACAATTTAAATTACAAATGTATTTTATTATTATGTAAACGTTACATAAAATTAAAAAGACTGCAGCAATAAAGAAAACTATACTGTACCAGTAAATCTTAAACATTAAAATATTACAATTAAATTACCCGGTCAAATAACCAAAGATTAAATTTCATTTGAATTATATTGGCCCATATTACCCGGTCAAATAACCAAAGATTAAATTTCATTTGAATTATATTGGCCCATTTATTCCCACAAATTAAATTGCTCCATAAAACTACAGTACAAAAATTACATGATAGTTTTATCCTAATTACACAAATTAATTACTGTATACAACAGAATTACGAGGACATTTGGGTGCTGTGAACATACCCTGCACGATTAGGCTGCGATGAACAGCTGGTTAGCCGTAGCTCGCAACGCTACTGATATCACAGTCTGAATGCAAACGGCTATAAATTTAGCCGCCAGCCTAATCGTGCAGGGTATGTTCACAGCACCCAAATGTCCTCGTATACAATGTACGACAAAAAGAGGATTCAGTCGGTCCACGGTTCGAGAATTATCCTCGCAACGACACGCCACCAGTTTAACATTGGCACTGACTTCGCACGCTACATTCTAACGCTCGTGCTTCGTGAATCTCGAAATATATCTATGCAAATCATATATCAAAAGGTGTAGAAAAAAATTTAAAACTTTTTAATACCAAACACGGGGCTGTTCATGGCGAACAGCAGAAACTGTAGTCATTTAACTTCCTCGTAGACACAACATACGATCTCTGCGTAATATCAGTCCTATCATTCCTATGCTGAAGCCTACGAGAAAAACAACTACAACTAATTTCTGCTGTTCGCAATAAACAACCCCGTGTTTGGTATTAAAAAGTTTTGAATTTTTTTCTACACCTTTTGCTGTATTGCTTGGCTGATTCTGTTTTGTTATTCCCGAGAAATGGGTGCGAGAGATGTGAAACAAGAACACAGCCAGTGCGCATCTCATCGCTAGCACTGGATTCGAACAGAGAAGCGTGGATCTGCGCTATATTTGTTAAACCGAAGCTGAAACCTCTTTTTGTCGTACATAGTATGTAAGTAATGTAACTGCACAAAGATTTCTGGGGAAAAAAAGTCAAGTACTCACCCATCAGAAACGGCCCGCGCCACTTCCGTCAGATTGCTCTTGACGGTCTCGGTGAGGATGTATTTCTCGTCCACCAGCGGTTCCAGCTGGCCGCAAGCGATCCAGTACCCTTCGATCAGCTCATATCGCCCCGCGGTGGGACGGGGCGGGCGCAGCGACAAATCCGGATGTTTCAATCTCACTTCCCCGAACAAATGCTCGGCAATGGTTTTCTTCATCAGACTCTGCGATTCGCGGCTCAACTGCGTCAGATAACTCAGACAAAATCCCTGTCCAAACCACGACAATTAATTTTATGCTAACCCAAACCAGTTACTCAAGCAACCCACTTCATACAAGGATCGAACAACTTTTCCCATCGGATTTTTCACGGCAAACTTCAGGGCTTGCGTAAACGTTCGCAGACTGCAAAGGAATAAATAATTGCCGCAATTTTCTCTAGTTTTCCTAGCAATTAATATTGTTTTTGATCTAATTTTTCTCATTTAATGAGTCATTTAATCTAATCAAATTATCAGATAATTCTCCAGAAATTAATCGACCGAAGAGTGGCGAAGGTATTCTATGTTCAAGGATAATGAAAAATGTGGTGTCTGTGCGTCGGTCATCGCAATCAAATGCACATATACACGACGATGTTTGTTGCTAAATTATGGTGAGAATTTCGCGAAATTATGAATGAGAACTAATGCTGGCGACAGTTTTTAAAAGGTCACCGATATGTTTATAAATATGTTTTTCATGTCATGCACCAAATGACAAAAACGTTGTCATCCTTGAGAAGACTTCGGCAGGGGAGCCCCCAGAATGTCCTTGGGACGGTTTTGCCAGTCACAGGAGGTGTTTTTTACTACTACTGTATTATCAGAAAGGTAAGTCTATAGAGGGAGTATCAACATGTCAATTTTTCCTCAGCGTTTTCAAATCGGTGTCATCGAGTAATTCACTAGATGCAGCGAACACAGTTAAATTTAACATAAATTTAAATTTATGTTAAATTTTTAAATTTATTTTTTTAAAATTTATTTTTAAATTTATTTAATTTAAATTTATGGCTATACCTGACACTTCTGGCAGCACGCTTCGCTCACCAGGCAGTTGGGCCACCTCATAAAAACGAAGAAGTCGAATAATTTACGCTTTAGAAAACGTTACAAAAGTCCGTTTAATGCGCGGCAAGATAAAAAAAATTTTAATGGAAAATCTTGTGTGAGTAAGGGGAAACACCTTGAGTTTTAGCATGACCTAACCAAGCTTCGTTTTCATCAGCATTCATATGTCCTGAACAAACTGGTTATTTACCCTTCAGAAAACGTTACAACAGCCAGTTTGATATGCGGCATGTTTCTTGAAACGAAGACAACTACCAAGCATTCACCACCCAGCCAAAATGCCCCGAGTACACTTTTGTCGTGTTCCCCTGACACTATCACCAGAATGGTACAGAACGTAATCTTTGGCTAGATTGGGAATTGGGCCTTATACGGGAACCTGATTTTTTTTTATCAAGCTTATTAATAGCTGCCACCGGCGTTCATTAAATCCGACCATTCAGATCGTGTGCAGGCTTGCAGCGTCAAATTACCCTACCGTGCATAATTGCGTTATGTGACGGTGAGTCGGTGACCGCGCACAGCATTGCATATACAAAAGCCAAATAAATATTATTATGATTGTTTTACCGTTTTCAGACACTTATTCCGGTTATTCATAAACTTCGCTGCAGACCGGGGCCAAAGGCCGAGGTTTCACTTGCCACTATAGTAAAAACTCTACCAACCGGAACGTTAGCATTAAATAATCGAGGAGGATTGATTAAAGTAAAACGGGGTAATCCATGCGTGCTAATCATTTTTTCTTATGTTATAGTCCTGCTACGCTTCGGTCATGCAGTGCCCGCAAAGAGCGAGTGCACTTTCCTAGCATTAAGTTATCCCATTTTTTCTCAAATTTACAGTATTAGATAATTTTCCAAGATTTATCATCATTTTTATTCTGATTTTTTACAAATCATTAAATAATTTACCAGCAATTAATATCAAGTTATTCTTATTTTTCTTATTATTGGACACTTTTTATAAATTAATGTAATTTTTTATGTAATAAATTTTTGAACAATTTTTCATGAATTAATGTAATTAATGTAATTTCTTATTGTAATTTTTCTCCAAAGAATTATATAATTTCCCCAACCTGTAATGTGGTTTATGGCTGACGCCGTCCACCATCTTGGTTTCGGCCAGCGTCTTGAGAATAAAAAACAGCTCCACAACCTTTTCCAGCAGCTCCACGTTCAACGCCAACGGCTGCAGATACGCCACAACGATCTGCCGGACTTCCCCGCGGTCGGATAAATCATCGCAGTAGATCTCGGTGAAACGGCTACGGATGGCCGCCGGCAGATCGCGCTTCCCCAGATCCGTGGCCGGGTTCATGCAGGCCAGCAGGCGGAAGTCGGGATGCCGGCGGATGGGCATGTCATCGCTGCAGAATAAGTAAGGAAATTGTGAAAGTGATGAAATTGGAAAAAGAGAATAAATACCCGCGATCAATGAGAAGGAAGGACGTTTGCGTGTTGTCGATGAAATGGCTGAGGCTGGCCAGCAACTCCGGTGTGGCCAGGTTAATTTCATCCAACAGCACCCATTCACCGCTGCGGTAACTTGTCACCAGCGTTCCCTGCGTAAAAGACGAATAATGCTGCTGACTAATAAGGATTTTCAACAATTTTTTATTGTAAATATTATCTTCTTTTTTTATTGCATTTATTTTCGCTTTTATTACAAATTATTTTTTTAATTTTTCTTGCAATTATTACCTTTAACAAAAGGCAGTATTATAAGCCGACAAGACAGTTTACCTCTAAGAATGTAAAGAGGAGACTCCTCTTCGCCACGGTCAACTGCCGTTCCACAACAGCCAACTTCTCAGCAAAATCAGTCCACAAACCAACCAGCTTCTCGTCGGCGTTTTTTCGCTTGGAGAAGCTACTGACAATATGCCGCATCGCTGTGGCCAGTAAAGTCCAGTCCTTCTGTAGTAAAGCTTTCTACAAAAATTTCAAAAAATCAATAATTAGCAGGATAGCAGCTGAACAACTCCAGCGTGATACTCCCGCACGCTTGAGAAAAATGGACGACCATACTATTGAAAAGAACACGTCATGCTGAAAAGTATTGCGTGAATCACAATGCAAAAAATAAATTTAACTTTTTCCATTAGCATTTCCAAGTTATACTAGCTAATTTAAAATTTACTCTGAAAAAATTATGCTACAAAAATTCTAAAAATAAATTCTTATATTATTTTTATTCTAAACAATTTTATGTTTATTCTATTCAGCTCTTATTCTAAAAAAATTAAAAATAACTGTGAAAATTATTTGTTGATTTGTACCTGGGCTCTCTCGATAAAAACCACGTTCTGTTGGAGGGAAAATGTTCGCCTGAAGAGATCCAAGAAGACGACCTGCAGCTCGGCAAAAACCCGCCCCATTTCGATGGGTTTATACCCACCCAGGATATCCGTCAGTTCCGCCTGTTGGCTCAAATTAATCACGTGCAACTTCCGACCTGCATTAAAAACATTCAGCGCTGAGATATTGAAAATTAAAACATAAAGTTGGAATTCGAAACAATTTAAAAATAATCAAGAAATAACAGTAATTTTGAAAATAATCAAGAAAAATAGAAAGAATATTTTGCAGTTAATTTTAAACTATTCTGGAAAATAACAATGATTTAGAAAAATATCATGAAAAATAATTTACGCTAACTTACCGAGCTTTTCGGCGAGATACTGCACGCAGGTCGTCTTGCCGGTCCCCGTCTCCCCGACCAACAGAAGGGCTTCGTTGTGCGCCACACCCATGCACAAGCTCTCCAGTAAGCGGCAGGCCGACGGATGCAGCGAGAACACCGGTCGACTGTTGAGAGAAATCGCTCCAGTGCTTGGCTGCACTTCGATCAATGGCACCTTCGCGAGAGATACTCGTCCCACACGAAAATCACTTGGGCTGCTGTCAACCACCACTGGCTGGCGTTTGCCGAGATTGTAGTCCACCTGCAGCAGCAGCTCATAACAAAAGTTTAAAAAATTTATGAAAGAAATCCTAAATTACAGAAAAAGTAGAGAGAAAATTATAAAGATGTAAAAATCCCCAATGTCCCGCCTACAGATACAGGTACTGAGATACGTACATCAGTGCTCGGTAATCCAAGAAAGACACCCAACTGCCGCGCCAAGGCCAGACGCGCTTCTTTCCCCGGAACGAAGGCCACGAAACAATCACAGACGTCTTGTAGAAGAATCTCCGCATACGCACGGGAATTTAAAGATAAATAAGAGGATATTCGCTGACAGGATTTTAAGAAATCTCTGCAATTAACAAAGGTCCGCTAACAGCCACAACAGAGACTGCATCGTTTTTAAAGTAGACAAAACAGTAAAAATGATAATTTAAAAATTTAATTAAGACAGGAAATGAAAACATTTGGAAATTGTTACATATTAATATTTCCAACCTGAGCGAGATCAGCCGATGAGCAACACAGCGCCGAGCATCCATATCGGCGATTTCCGCGGCATTCGTCACTGTGCTGAAAATGCGCAGCAATTCCGGGAGGAAGGTCTGCATGGACGGAGATGGAAACAGCCGACGACTGATCTAAAAATAAAAATAAATAGATTGTTTTCTAAAAAAAATCCATATCACAAATAATAACCACCATCAAAATTTCATCCGAGGGAAGTTTTTCCAGATAAATCCGCTTGAAATGACTGAACAAGCTGGGATCGACGTGCGATTGCTGGATGGACGGATCGTGTGTCCTGTGAAGCAAAAAAATCAACAGTGAAAACCACAATAAAATCGGAAAAAAATAAAATGAAAAAACCTTAAAGTGGCGAATATTCGAAACCCGTCGCCTGCTTGTATCGTGGAACCGATCTCTGGTATATTCAGGGCGCCGGTCTGGATGAGAGTCAATAAGACCGAGACGACGTCCATCGGCGCGCTGTCCAGATCGTCCAGAATCACCCAGCACGAATTCATCACAACCTGTGCGTGCATCCCACCACGAAACCTTACTTTTCTAGTGTCAATGTCATTGTACCGCAATATAAAAACGAAAATTCAAAAATAATAAACGTCACAATCCAAAATAACGTTAATAAAAAAAATGGTAAAAATAGACAGCAAAATGCAAAATGTTAACAAAGATGGAATCAACTATAAAAAACAATCTAAAACTAGTCACAGTTTATAATTTTAAAAGTTATGGAAAACAAAAAAATTAACAAATAATTCACAAAAAGGATAAAAACAGTTTTCAAGACAGTGGCTAAACGGACAGCAAAAAACTGCTAATGAAAATGAACAAAATAAGAACAAAAGAAATAAACATGATAAAAATACAAACCTAAGAAACTGAGAAAAAATCCGAAAAAAATAATTGACATAAAAAATGATAGTAAAAATATCAATCATTCCTTACTCTGGCTAAAATTCCCGGCACCCATTTGAATTCGCCGCCGATCTCGGTGCAGTGATAGGAACCCAGCAGCGCCTGCAAGATCAAGAAACAACGCGATCAGACGCGAACCCCTGTTTGACAGCATTGTGCTTGAACTGACGCGGCCATCGGCGTCCTTGCACAGCTGGATGGTGATCAAGTCCCGGCTGGCGCTCCGGCCTTGCCGAGCGGCGAGATGGTGCAGGAGCGCGGATTTTCCGCAGCCCGTCGGTCCGCAGAGCAGGACGGGTTTCCCGTGCTGGATGAAGAGCTCGGCGCTGGCAATCTGCTCGGCGTAACTGGACGGCGCAACGTAGCATGCCTGTAGGATGAAGATGTCGAACTGATACGCAAGACTGGTACACCACCGAAAAAAAGAAAACCACGCTGCAGATGCTATATCACACGGCGTACCGGATCTGGCAAAGTATGAGCTGTTGCAGCAATTTCCACAGCAGCGTCCATGACTGCGCAGCACGCCGATTCACTCAACGGGCATTCAGATGGCGGAGAAAATGTGTAAGACTTTTACACGCTAAAATTCTCCAGATGATTCTCACGGCAGTAAAGAAAATATTTCATTACGAATGGCTCAAAGAATACGATCAAACTCTGACTTTCAAAGCACTTGGAAATGTCTGCAAAGCAAACGGTAAAGTGAGCACGCCAGAACTGAGAACGGAATAAAATCGTCTACCGTTGCGCAATGGCATTTACGGTTGGGAATGCCATCAAGGCTGCGATAAATGGGCAGCCGCAACCACTTCCGGTTCCATTGGAATTATGAATTGGTATGGTATTGGAGTCGGACGTGCCACGTCAGTCTGTGCTCTGATGAGTCTGATCAGTCTGATGTATGCCTACTACTACGTAATACACGCGTGCATGTGCGGTGCTCTGATCCGATCCATGTTATTCACTTGATTCGGTTCATTTTACGCACTTAGCGTCAGCTTTACACGTCTCGACATCCATTGGAATTTGTGTTTTCTTAGCGTGTTTTGCCTCCACTTTCGCAATCAGATAATCAATGTTTTAAAAAAGTCATCCAAGTTATCACAATGTTCCTTTTACAAGTAAAACTTATGTTTACAACTTTACATCCACTGATATCCGAAAGGTTCCAATTTACCACTGGCGTTTAATACTGAATACCGCCTGCCGCAAAACAATGATTTTCGAGCTAAAGAGACTTTGCACTTACGAAACTTTGCAATTTCGTCTGGCCATATATAAGCAAGATAAAACACTACCTTTAGTCCTTTACAGCTTAGGACTAAAAAGACGCATAGCCCCATACCCAGATATCCGTACGCATGTGGCAAGTGCACTTGTACGACAACCGGATATTTTAGCTGAGTCGTACAGCGCACTGCGCCGCATGCGTTCGGAATGCTATGGGTGGGATTATGCGTCTTTTTTGTCCTAAGCTGTACCTCACGAAAACTTTCAAAATACCCAAAAAAATCTCCAAGTTCAGCTGCTAACCGTCGGTTACCTTTACAAGTTATTCCTGTCAAAATGCAGACCATTGCTCTCATCCTGATTGTCGCCTGCGCCGGCACCAACACGCTACGCTTCGCTTGTCAAGCAGCTGCACCGTTGGCGGGTGTTCCAGCACCGGTCCCCAGCGTACCGGCACCCAGTGCCCCGCTTCCGAATGCACCGGCTCCTGGTGTCCCTGTTTCTGCTCCCGGTATCCCGACTCCGAATGCCCTTGCTCCCAGTGTTCCTGTTCCTTCCCCGAGTGTGCCTGTGCCGGCTCCCGGTCTGCCAGTTCCTGCGCCGACCCTGCCGGTGGCCTGCAAACGGGCTGGTGCTACCTGTACCGCCGAACAGAAGGCGCAGTGTGGTGAGCACTCGACTCTCTAGCCATCAACCGCTGGTTAGTGTGAACGCATAACAACGGTCGTTGCATGTATACTGTAGAGTGTTTCCTTCGATGAGGGACTTAGTCAAGCCTTTCCGAACGAGGTGGTTTCTTCCTGTAATCAGGATGCGCAAAAAATGGTACAAAACGTATTGTTTCGTGGAAATACGAAACGTCATTTAGCCAACGTTAACGCACGCAAGAAACCTGCTTGTACGGATAATGAAGTAATGCGGTGGAAAATGCGCACGCGTACTTTGCACGACCGGAAAATCCAGCGCAGTGTTTCACTTTCACGACCTCCGAGTGACTGTCTTTAGATATTCACCGCAGTACCGGCTGACATAGAAACCAACAAACAAGTCATTTTGTAAATTGTACCGTTACATGCGACACTTAACGACACTTCCACGATAAGACTGGGACTTATACTAAATTTCATTTACACTTGCGTAATAGCTGTGCTAATTGTCGCTAATGATTCGTTGAATGCCATGGAGCACGAGCCGATGCACGTTCGGATATGTCTTTTGGCTGATTATATGCTCATCGTTGTCGCCTGAAGAAAATTCCTTATGTAGCAATTTTCATCGTCTTCAACGGACAACCTTATGCCGAACAGTCGGAAGGTTATCTTTTCAGGTATGCCAAAATTGCTTACGCATACTGAAGTATGCGTATTTAGAACGAAGGAAAAGGGAGAAGCCGTTGCGTTTCGGTACCCATGACAGGAACCAAATGGTCGCAGCTTTGGTTATTGCTGGCGGGGAAATCATGGGTAAAGTTCCTGTTATTTCGTTCTCGGCTTTCATATAATGATCGCTCTGTTAATTTCTAATTTGCCGACCTTCACCAGCTGGTGCAGTTACTTGACGAATAAATTTACTGGTGCACTTGTTTACGCCATCATCAACACGTTTTTATCACAGTCAGAAAAAAATTCTGAATACAGCAGCCAATGACTCAGCAGTGCTAAATAACGTGCATAATATCAGCAAGAACGGCAGCACAGTCCCGGCATGGGTAGTTTACAAATCCCAACTGTCAATCTGGTTCGTTTTTTCTTTGTCCGAAACATACTTGGGCAGTGTGCTGTTCCTAATATTTTTTACCGTGCTGTTTCACGTGAACGCTCACAAACCTGCAACAGGGTATTTTAATTCTCCACACAGCTTTCTTGAACTTTACGATGTGCACCATTCACTGCCCGTTGAATATTCTGGTGGTGTACTACAACGGTCGCCGTACCACTACCTTCCTCCCGGAAAAGTACTGCATCTGCGTTAATGGTATGCTTTTGATTACGACGAATATCATTCATTATGCTAATGATTGTCTGGCAGTCAATCGTTTTGTGGCAGTTGTTTTTCCACATCGGTACAAGGCTTGGACCACGAGAAAAGCCATATTGTCCATGGTAAGCAGACAACGAGTTAGTCCAATATTTCGGTTAATTAACCCGTTGACGGGCATTGGTGTCTGGAAACGACAAGTTGTTTGGAAATTTTTCCCCAGCGATTGGCAACAGTTAATCGTTATCCCATACCATAACAATCAAAAAGGGGCTTCTAAGCAGCAGTAAAAATATAGTTGAAACTATTGTCTGAAGTTAATTACGAACGGCAAGTCCGCGAAAATCGTTAATTTTTGGACTTTTCTAGCTGTCGTAGGTCTTGTTAATTATCTAATTAGTGAATGAATAATTAAACCGGAGATAAATCAACAAGGTACAAGTGAGGACGTTTTATCTAAAAACGCTTAACACGGGTTCAGAAGATTGAACCATAGATGACCACAGTCCGTCAAAAACGTGTGTCGTCTGCTAACACCATTGCCCGTGAAGGGTCTTGAATACACGGGCGGGTGCAACTGCGACAGCAGCGCTTTATTACTTAATCGGATCAAGCTGCTGTCGGTTTGTACACAGCCATGTGCCACACGATTGCAGGTGTCAGAACGTCATTCGGAAGCTGGCAAAATCCAGAAAGCTTTTTTTCAGGCCAGCACCCCGGGCGGTCGGCGAAGATGCAAAATCATTTCAAACGTTGTCCGCCTCCGGACAAAAAAACGTTCAAGCACTTTTGCGCATTGCCGCGTTTCTACCTACGCTAGCGGTGCACACAAACAAATTGAGGGAGCCCGGTAGCTTTGGAAAACAGAAGAATTCTAAATTTGACCAGGCTCTGGCATTTGAAAATAGCAGTTTATGTTTATGTATTCTATGCAAACTGTAATGTGCACAATGCTAGTGGCGATGCTGACCTTAGCGGCAGTCTTGCGGGTTACTTCCGGCTAAGGTGCTTTTCAAAAATTGCTAGTGCATAGTGATAGCTTATATCTGAATCGGCGCCTATCAGCACTGCAGTTGCACCATCTTCGCCGTCTATGACAGTGCCACCTGCGACCAAATCCAGGGAAAGTGCAACCGCGGACGATGCAGGCATCATAAAGGCAGCTACGCTTGCCCGAAATGCAGCAAGTGTAATTTCAAACTTCATAAAAAGTGTTTTGTGCAGTACCACATGCAATTGTATTAAGCATTATGGCAAAGAAATATCGTTAACATTTTTGTTTATGTATTCTATCGGGTAATAGTAGTCAAAATACATGGAAACGGGTTTTGTCAGCTTTTAGTTTTTTTTGCTGACCAGTGGTCAGTGTGTTGACCACTTCCATACTGTTGTATTAAAGCACTTTTTTTTAGCTACTTAGTTAAGTTATTGCTTTTACGTAATTGCCGTTTGCCTAATTATTACAAAATTAAACATTTTTAAGCTGTAGACTGTCCATGGGCATTGGTGTTGGCAAACGACATAGTCACCACCGCTGACCTATGGTCAGGACAAGCTCACGAAAAATTCCCTTTCTTAACTGAATTTTTTTATCGGGAAATCCCGATTTTCAAAAGGAAACTCGCACTCCTTCGGGTACCGCTCGCTGGAGGGTTAATTTTGAGATTGGAACCGAGTTACTAACCAAAATTAATAACTTATGTACACTGTACAGCATTGTAAGCTACCAAATTTTCGCGTACCATCGACTTTTTTTACCTACCGGTTTATCAAATATTATATTTTAATAACAACCGAACTGATAAGAAATAACTCGTTCTGATATAGTCAGCTTCATTCAAGAATTTCAAAAAAATAATCTAATGACATTATTAGATTTCCATGAAAGAGAAAGAATAGCCGGCGAATTGTGACCCGAAATTACCTGTTCATAAAACTTTCTTATACTTAAACTGACCAAAAATTGAAAAAAAACTGAACTATTTTTTTTTGGTTTCTGTTCCGCGACTTTTTCGAGATTGTTATGTTAGCACTAATTGCACTATCATCAGATTTCAGACCACTGAATTTATCTGTTATAATAATTATATTGTTAAATGATCAAAAATATTGGTAAAATTATTTGGTTGAATTACATTGGTTTGTGTTTAGATTGGCTCAGCGTGGACGCTTGGGATATTAATCAACGTTCCGGTCCTTTTGGGAATCGGTGGGTCATTCGGGCTCTCAGGCACTTGGGGCAGCTGCGGCTTCCACGAAAATCCCCGCGATCCACACTGGAGCTACCACCCAGTAATACGCGTATTAGCAGTTTACGCGCCAAACGCCCTCCAGCTGACGCTGTATCTGTGGATGCTAATACACTCCGCCTACACAGCATGGAAACGATCGCCGTTGGCTCCCAGAAACGATATTCTGGAGCAGAAACAGCTGCAACGGAGGACATTCGCCGGTGTGCTGCTCGGGTTCTCCGTGTGGAGTTTCGTCTGCTTCTACCCGATGGTCATCCTCGCGTCGTTCAATCTGCGTTCGTTCCAAAACGATCCTATTGTACAGCTCTACGTCCGCAATTGCAGCGTGCTAGGTTTCGCAATGACGCCGGTAATTGTAGATGCGTGCAATTTCGTATATCGGTGCAACCTGCTTTTTTAAACTCATTATAAGCGGTGTATGTTTCAGGTTGTGTTCTTCGTGCTCAGTGAAGAGTACCGAAGTGGTTTGGTGTCCCTCGTCCGACGTGTCCGAGGCATTTTAGAGAGAAATTCAAATAAGGGGGATAAATCAATCGCTCTAGCAACAAGGACATATCCTGGCAGTTCAAATTAGACTGTCCAAGTGTCCGTTAGCACTTTTGTACCTAACTACCTACATACGTTGGAGTTTGGTACTCGTACTCCACTTATTCTTCATTACTGTAGTAAATCAGTGAAAGATGTAACGCTAAATAAACAATAGTCCTTCACATACAGTTCACTGCAATTGACAATTTGACACTAATAACTCTAATTAATGCTGATAACACTGTTCAATAATTATGCTGATTAGTGATCACTGAGGTAAAAAGCCCTTTGCGCTGGCGTTTAGCTTTCAACCTGCGATACGCCCATCGGACCGATGACTTTTCTAATTGCTTTCATATAATGCAGTATCTGCAACATGACTGCTTATAATGTTGTTTAATTTTTACATTGGTTTTACACTGATCCAGACTTCCATGATTTTTTCAAATTTTAAAATGAATGTTAAAACTTTTGAAATTCATTTTAAAATTTGAAAAACATGCAAGAACGGTGGATCGGTGTAAAAACTTTGTTCATGGTTATGTGCATTTGCGTGCAAAACCAGAAGGAGATCGGTCCATAATGAGACTTTTGGTACACCTGAAGGCATTTAAACTTTTTGGAATTTTCTTATGGTTATAACTCGCGAACCGGATGTTGCACGCACAAACGGTTATCACGCCGATGTATACAAAACATTTGGCCACAGAATATTATAAAACAAACGAACAAACGGGTTTGGGAGTGCGCGAAAGTGATGTACTTCGTGCATGTACACGAATTTAGTTTAAAAATCTATTTATGCTATATTTATGGCATGCACATTGACGAAAGTTGGCACTAACAAGGCATAAATCAACTTGTCGCTGTAGACAGCATAGTTCAAATGGAAAAGTTGTAAAAATTTTGCATTCATCAGGGCGATTTGATTTTTTCTGTTCAGAGAAACTTCAGCCCTCTCGATATAGCAGTGCCAAATTTTACAATTATTCTGGTAATTTTTACGTAACATGAAGCAATTACCGCTGAAATTACAACGAAAATCATTGCTATCACGAAAGTTTTTTTGCCGGCGAGGATTTTAGCACAGCTGATTACACACGTAATGCAGAATACCAGTAAAATAGAAAGGCCATCGAATACATGTTCCTGAGCGTTAAACCATCTATGTATGTACCGTAACTGTACTGAAATGTTGAACTAAAGGTTCAGGTTAGAATAAAAGATCACCCAATATGTTAGCAATTAACAACAGAAGCACTTATTAAGTACTCGTATTAAGCCATAACAGTCTGCACTCTGCACATTACCTACAGAGTGTCGACAAAAGAAAGTTGACCAGTAAATTTTGGTGACCCGTCATGTGCTACAGCACGTAATTCAGCTCATACGGAATCCAGCATACGCACACACCAACGGTCAGCACCATCAGCAACCGCAGTCCCGTGTGATGCTGATGCACCAGGCTCCGCTCTCGTAACCACACCGCTA